GAGCCTCGCATCCCACGCCATGCATTCTGTATTAAGATTTCGACTTTTAATGACTTATTGACTTTTGTTCATTTTATTTTACTGATAACAGCCATAGTGCCTTATTATTATAATAACTGAGTAGTTTATCGATTAATATTAAGAACTTGACATATGATGATGTAGCTATAAGCCTACCTATTTAATAAGGTTTGGGGAGATATAATATCAATTATAGGGGGAAATATCACCAGGACCATGGGCACGACCGGTGCTGTTTGAATGGGCATATGATTCTGTGCTCCATGGCGTGAGATGTAGCTCACTGCGTTTACATGAACCCCTTTTGTTTGATTTAAGAATAATTCAAAATTGATGACTTTATCAGTAGATCAGCTATCTAAGAGCAGCATCCATGTTATATGGGGGTTGCGTTTTAAACATTTGAATTGTCACCTGTTATGCATACAAAATGAGGAAGTCGCGTTTCAAACTGATCAATATGCTTGCGTAGGAGTCAGTGAAATGTGTGCTGGTTTCTCTCCACGTTCTGCGCTGGTGTGCAAGTTTTATCGACAATAAACCCAAGCCAAATGCAAGCTATCAGCTATCCACCCCATGTTATAGACCATTTCACAAGATGTAAACAACACTGGTCCAGAAGCACTTCCTGTTTCAGTTTTTTAACACAACATAAAAGCTGGGATAAAATACAACCAACAGAACATTTAAAACTGAATCAAAAAGTTAAAGTTTCTTTACATGTGAAATAAAGAAAACAGTTACAAACTGAAACAGGAAGTGCTTCTGGACCAGTGTTGTTTACATCTTGTGAAATGGTTTATTAATAGTGGATATACTTTCACGCACTTTCATGTCCATTGTCCAAGTATCTGCTATCAGACCCGTTGAAGACAGTTTCTGTTCATGTGCGCTATGTTTGTTTACCTATAGCCTATACCCTACATAGGCTATACAGTTAAGGCTATTTTTAGCCGCCGGCGGCCGTAAAGGTCTTTAACTCTTTCCCCGCCAAACACGGAATTTTCCGGGTTTAATGAAAAAACGCATCTGCGCCAAACACGGAATTTTCCGGGTATCCGTGTTTTAGGTGGTATACGGTAAGGAAGACCCGCGCGCATGTCCTGAATGAGTGCGCAACTCTTTGATCAGAGAAACAGATTGCAATCGTCTCAAACAGTGGCGTAGTGAGAATGTATCAGACAGACAATGCAGAGGTATATGGCTGAAGTACTGGACTTAATGGACTCGGAGTCCGATCACTCTTTATTTGATAATTCTGAATCTGATCGGAACGAAGTAGTCAGTGAGAGAGATGCACATGTTGTCACAGAAAGTTCTAGCCATGGACGTGCCGCAGATAGATCGTATAATATTATGACACTATAATATGTATGTGTGTGTGCAGGCATTTATGTGTGGCTGTCTAAATATGAAGGTGTAATTGTCATATTATTTCTCTCTTTGTGCACATTTACCACATTGTAATATGTATTTGTGTGTGTGTGTGTGTGTGTGTGTGTGTGTGTGTGTCTAGGCCTGTTTATTGTAATTCCAATTATTCATTATTCACAGGTAGAACACAGAGAGGCAGAGGCAGAAGTTTTATTGCAAAAGTTACATTTCCCTTACATCCTGGGAAATTTGATATATTTTACATTTATTTTATGTTTTTAATTTATTTTGGAAAGTTTTATATATGAAGGAAAAAACATCTGAATGTATTCTGCTTTTAAATGCACTTGTTTGATAAAAATACCTTTTTCTCAGTTTTTTGTCCAAAATGTTGTGTTTTTGACAAAACCTACCTCTGTTCAAGAGGCAATAAAAAAACACAGATGAAGAAGCACACAGATGAAGATAAAATAAAAACGTTTTTTTTGCCTAAAAGCAGAGGCTCAGATCTTTATTTTTATATATATCATCTTCATATATTCATGGAAGAAAATATTCAGCGGGGCATTCAAATTTAGCGAAAATCGTCAAAAACCCTGGCGGTGGCTGGCAACTTTTTTTTAAAACGCTGGCGGGGAAAGAGTTAATGGTTAAAGGCTACCTTTAGGGTGATGCAAATGACTTAAATGTGATATTGCCTGCACAGCTCAATTGCGTTTCATTTGGTCAAACACCACAAGGTGTCACTGTGGCCTCAAAGCTTCAGCACCGCCACTCTGAGCTCGATTGCTTATGTCTGAGTTAAAACACGCCCCCCTCATTAACATACGGAGAAAGAAATGTTGGAATAAATAAATGTGGAAAATAATTACATGTGGAAATATATAAATGTAGAAATAAATAAATGTGAAAATAAATAAATGTAGACATAAAAACATAAATACATAAATGAATGTGGAAATAAATAAAAGTGGAAATAAATAAATGAATAAATGTAGAAATAAATAAATAAATAAATGTGTGAAAAAATACAATTATACATAAATATGGAAATAAAAGTATAAATACTCATTTATTTGTACTTTTTTACATTTCTTCGTATATTTATTTATGTATTTATTTTTGTATTTTTGCTTTTTTACATTTCTTCGTATATTTATTTATGTATATATTTATTTTTAATTAAGTCAGCTTTGGCATTCCATATTCGTGGACTGTCGTATTCACTCTTATCTCAGTTTCAAGAGAGGGCCGCAGACATACGCTGCGGAGTGCGGACTGCGGAGCGAGCGGGAAAACCTGGAGCGGATTAGCGGAATCAACGGAAGGCTTTGAGCAAAGCAGAGCAGGTGGGCAGGAGGGGCACCTCAGTCGATGAGGGCAGAGGGGCAGTGGCTCTAGCCACCGGGCCACCCCCTTGTGCACGGCCCTGAACAACAGTAACCTCCACTAAAGCAAGGCAATTTTTCCATGTTTACTCCATTAAGCATGCTTTTGGGATCACATGTCATTGTGAAAATATCTTTTAATGGTCTATATATTTCTTTGTAAATTAAATTATATAAAACTATATAACTAGAGATGCACCGATTACAATTTTCTAGGACGATTCAAATTTTTCAGAGTTTGACCTGCCGATACCGATTTTAGCCGATTCCGATTTCATTTTTTCGAAAAACTTTACAGCAAACACAAATATTTATTTTCTCTCTTTTCTTTAGTAGAACATTTTAGAACAGTAATCACTATAAAATAGGACTACATAAATTACTCATAGTGTGGGAAATTCACACATCTAAATTGAAATGTTATGGAACAACCATTTCCTTCTTTTCACATCTAATATGCAACTAAAAATTCTTTTTCTTTTCTGACATATACTCCAGTTCTTGTTAAAACACACCAGACATACAAATTCTGTGCATTTTGGGCACTTGTGAAATATTTTTTTTGTCCATCAAAAGTGAGCTTTCACTTTAATTGAGTGTGAGGAGTTCAGCAAAAATAGACTCTGCACCAAAGCCTGCACTTCACCGCTGCTCCTTCGACGCTCACGTGTGAATGCACTCATTGATTAACATGCACGCCGGAAATAATACACTCTGCTCACATTTGCGGTGTGAAACGGCAGTAATTCACAAGGATTCCTACTTATGCGTTCCGTGTGCATGTGTGCTGCTGATTTTGCGCGATGTTAGTGATGCAGCGCCCGAGTGCATTTGACCGGCATAAAATAAGCATGTCAGACTGACCTGCCAGTCGCCGATCATGGCCGATCACGTGAAAATCCGCCAATTCCAGTCAACAGACGATCAAACGGTGCATCTCTATATGAAGAGTTCAGATGCAAAAGCCTCTAAGTGCCATTTGAAATTTTCTTCTAAAATGACCATTTATATTTAAGTTCAGTAATTTCACTTAAATGGCAATGAAGATTACCTATTAATTGTCATTTAAGTGAAATTACTGAACTTAAATATACAAGCTTGATAAAAATGGTCATTTTAGAAGAAAATTTCAAATGGCATTTAGAGGCTTTTGCATCTGAACTCTTCATATATAAGCAGTGCCGCATGATTAAAAATTAAATAATGGTTAAGGATTTGTTTATCAGTTAATGCTGGAAACTTTTTAATCTTTTAAATCTTTTAAATCTGCATATTGTTGGGTACCCCATTTCCAAGTAAATACAATACTTTTTTTATGGCTTACTTTAGCTTATTTATTGATACTATTGTGTTTTAATAAATAATGTCTCAATAAATAAGATAAACCCACCGGCAACCCTCAACTTTTCGATTTAATAATCCGGCCCTCGAATAAAACTAATTGAATAGCCCTGCCTTGTAGTCCTGCCTGTACTAGGCACAGTTGCCTTGTACCGAGCGCGATTGTTCCCCCTCATCACTCCCCCAGATTATGGAATATTTACGTACATATTCATAGCCGGTCTATTCACACTGGATTAGTATTATCTGAGGTGATTTTTCCAGATCATTTTCCAGAAGGTAAAAGTCGCCTCAATCTTCACTGATATTGTCCGTAATGATTACTGAGATGGCACATTCGGACAGGACTAAAATCACTCTGGTAATAATTATTTTACCCAACCTGTCCATGTTTAACTAATCCAGTCTGAATAGGACTTTAGAAAAAAACATTACTTGTGTGCATCCTGAGACAAAACCATGGCACTGACATATTTTAAAATGCATGTGAGTGCAAGTTGCTTTCAGTTAAAACATGCATTTTAGTCTGGGACTAGGCTTAAGCCCCGTCTGTGAAACCGGGGGTTGGTCAACTAAATCAGGACAAGGTAGACTAAATATGATAAAAACTAAAAAGTACATTCAAGACAGGACTAAGAATACATTTAAAAATATATGACAAAATGAACACTACTGGGAGCTGAGCTGCTGGAACAGTTAACAGCTACATACACATGATTCCTTAGATTGCTAGACTAAGATTAAGGTTAAGATCCTGGATTAAGGGTAAATGAAGCACACAAATTAAGATAAATGAAGCATAGCAATGATATAAAGATTACCCAATCCAAGACACTGGCATGAGTAAAAGGAAGAGGAGGTCAGAGCATGACTCACCTGGCATGCCTGCAAATGCCAGGGCTGGGTTTGCGGCAAGGGACTCCTGCTGACTCTGTTGGCTCTGGCCAGGGGTCAAAGGTCGCTGATTGGTCCCAGCACGCATCACCTGAATGGGGGAGGGTTGCAAAATAGTAAACCACTAGCCTCTAAAGCAAATTGTTTCTTTAATCATTGACTATTATGGTCAATAACAGTAGTCTTAATTGAAATGCATTCTACTGTGCAGGGGATCAGAAATCAGAACAAAAGCACTTTAAACTATTAATTGAGGGATGAGTTAAGCAAAGATGCCTTATAGCAAGAAACTATAACATGTAAACAATGCTAAGATCACAGCATTCAATATTTGAGGAGCTCTTTGTTCTAAATAAATGTTGCTGGTTCAATACTAGTTAAGCTTTGTCAACAGCAAAGTGGCATAATGCTGATTACCAAAGAAAATATATGACTTATTGTTCAGATAACAGTCATAGTTATGGTAACACAACGGTATCAGGATTAAGCTTTGGGAGGTTGAGGCAAAATAAAATAACTTTTGGTTTTCACTTTTCAGTGTGTATTATTTGAACTGTAAACCTGTCTAAGGGAATTTTTAGACCTGTAGATTGATTGATATGATTACAGACTATAACCTAGATGTGCTGTGTTTGACATTACATTACTTTAAATGAGTCCACCCCCAAGATTACAGTTCTAAACATGAACCTCAAATGAAAGGAAAAGGGAGAGGTTGCTGTAATTTATAGTAATATTTTCAGAATTACTAGTTTCAAATATAATTCTTTCGAAGTGTTGGTGCTTAATGTAACAATATCTAGAGTAAATGACAAATCACGTTTGAGATTTGTACTGGCTACTGTGTACAGGCGACCAGGCAACCATACAGACTTTATGATTTGCTTTACAGACAAAATGATTTGCTGCATCAGAGTTAGTTCTGGCTGCAGATAAAGTCCTAATTGTTGGTGATTTTAATATACATGTAGATACAAAAAGATGCATTGTGATTGGCATCTAAAGCTGCAGTCCTTAGCTTTTTTGGGTTAAAATTATTCTAAATAAATTTGAGCGATTACATAACCAGTCAGTGTTCAAAACTATCTGCCTGCCATAGCATGATTGAAAGCGGTAAGCTTGTTATTATTATCAAATTTATTTTGTATAATTTTAACCCCAAAAAGCTACAGACTGCAGCTTTAAATGCCAATCCCAATCCATATTTTTTTTTATTATGTTTTTAATTCCAGTGGTACTGGTGGATTTCCGGGGGAGATTTCGAGCATGTCTTTGTTTCATGACGTCACATCTGTACACAAAGGAGTCGTCTCGGCTAGTAGGCTATATTGCGTGTGAGGATGTTGAAGGTGGAGATTTATAGCCTCTCACAGCACTTGATATAATTAAACTTATCAATTTGATGACCATCAAATGTAGTTACGCAATGTTGATGGTGAACATTAACAATTTGAGAACAAACTGTAATTTGCACGGTTGTATGTGATATGATTAGGGCTGCAGTAAACCAAAGAAATCCTTAGTCGACCAAAGTCTTGTCCTGCACAACGATTAGTCGACCAAAAAAAAACGAAAAAAAAAACGGGATGATTGTTTTTTTTTTGATTGAACATTTTTTAACAATTATCAGAGCATTTATAAAACAACAATGAAAAAACATCAAAAATACATAAAACTATAATAATAATAATACAATTCTTTGCAAATTAAGTGATTTTTTTAACTGCAAAGTGAGGAGCTCTGTCCTATTGTCTTGGCTATAGTGACAATCACACTCGCGCACCTGACCACACCACACGCTACAAAAAATATAACTGCTATCTGTCACATAATGAAAAATCTTAACAAAAGCTCTTTATACAGGCTGAATATTCTTCTTTACTTTCAAAGCTATGGGTTAACTTTAGTCCAGCTGATCTAGGAGTTTTAAAACAAAGACACAAAAAACCCAAAACAGCCTAAAAAAATAATCCTAATAATAATAGGCTGTATTGTAGGACCACATATAGGTTTATTTTTGTTTTATACTACAGGGCTGTTGAATGCTTGATTCTGATTGGTTGAGAACGTTCTAAAGGTGTGCAATTATTTTCAGGGAAACGCACGGATAAAGTAGTTTCAGGCAAGTTTGAACAACATTACAGTTCCATATACCTGGGCGTAGTTAACGGAAAATGGGATACAATTCATAACAGAAGACATGCAGCCCCATGCGCTTGATCTGCAATTTCCGATGTCTAACTTCACAGTCAATTGACACATACAGTTTAATTTTAATAAATAAAGTATAGTCATTTCTATAATAGGCTAAATAGAAAATTAAACTGAATAGGCTATAAATAAATGAATAGTCCTGCTGCACGGATTTTCGTAATTATTCCAGATAATATAACAAATAAATAATTATTGATAGGCTTACTTGTTAAAAGGGCTTTGTATTTTTCATTTATTGGGTAATCTACTGTCAATTATAGAAAACAATAATGAATAAATTAAAGGGGGGGTTGACTGCGATTTCACTTTTTTCATTTTAAATAGTGTGTAATGTTGCTGTTGGTGCATGAACAGTATCTGCAAAGTTGCAGCTGAAATTTCAGTGTAAGCAGAGATATCGTCTTTTAAAAATCAGGAAGTATATTGCCTACAAAAACGGCTGGATTGGGACTACAGCTGGGTTATGGTACGTCACTAACCCACACATTTGCATCAACCACTCCCTCCGGAATAAGCAGAAAAGGGCATGGCCATATTTCAGCAGCTCCAGCAGCTCGTCGAGTGTGTTGTTCACGCAGCTGTCAGGTCTTATGTCTTCGAACTTCCCACGGACGCTGTACTTCGTCAACAATGGATACAATTTATGTTTGAATATGTTCCTGAAAATGACGATCGTAATCTATCTCTGTGCTGCGCATTTTACGGAAGACAGCTTCCAGAATCTCCACAAGTTCAACACCGGGATTCAACGGGGGTCATACTGATACTGCAGTTCGACGCATATTTACATCTGGGGCCTGATGCATAAACGTTGCGTACGCACAAAATGGGCATAGAAATATGCGTACGCATTTTTCCGCGCACATATCGGGATTTATAAAAAATAAACTTGCCGTAAATAAGTGCGCACCGTACGGATGCTCTTGACCATGCGATGAGTATGTGTTTTGTCGACATCGATGGTGAGCTGGAGTTAAATGTATTTTTGGTCACTATTAGACAGAGAATCTAAAGAAAATTATACATCTACAGAAATATAATTAAAAATATAATTTCACAAACCTATCATCAACTGAAGCAAACATCCATCCCTTCTTAAGTGACCGCGCCAGCACGCGCGTTGGGCCATTTAGTGAAACTGACGCACATACAGTATATCCTATAATCTAACGGCAGATGAAGTAAAACCGTAAATCTTCATTATGAGTCCTAATCATAAATACAGTGCATGTTCACAATAACAGTTTAAATAAATAAAAGAACGATTTAAACTATGTTTTACTTCTGATATAAACATTTAGATGAAATATGCCATTCTCATTAATGGAGTTAAACACTTAAACTAGCCTACATGAAATCATTACTGAGAAGTTGCAAAAAATGTAGGCTATATTCAATAAATAGAAACAGTTCTATTTGTTGTGGATGCAATCAATGCTTTTGAACATTTTTCCTCTGGCATGCTGTGTTTAAATGTTTTAAATGATAGCTAATAGCAGATTGTCTGAAAAAAAAATGGTTTCGTGCAAATAATGCACAACAAGATCTATCCGTTTCCATTAAAATATAAATCAAATAAAAATACTATTTGGCCAGTGGAAAAGATTGAGAAAATCTTTCTCTGAAATGTATTTAACACTATTTGATTTATTTATTTAAAAAAAAAAGGCAAGGATATGCTACTAAAAAAATAAATGTTTGTAATGGCACATCCGCATTTCATATTTAACTAACGTCTTACCGTTAAACATGGTATCACGTGGATGAATAATCATATGCAAATGATATGCGGATGAGGATTTGCATAGTAAAACTAGGCGTTGTAATCTCCATATATGGTTATTTCGGGGAGGAGACGCACGTCCGCGCATTCTTTCACTGACTGGGATTTATAAAGGGAATTCTGCACAGGTTCTGGCATAGGTACGGTTTTATAAATCTGAAAACTTTTGTGCGTACGCAAATTCTGCCTTATGTGCGTAGACTGCGTACGCACACTTTAAAGATGAAATCTACGCAAAGTTTTATACATGAGGCCCCTGGACCGGAGCTCATGACGTGCCCGTAAAGGTAATGGGCGTTAACTTTCCGGACAACGTAAGCGACAGTTAAGCCAATCACAACTGTTTTAGCCAATCACAACAGTTTAGCCAATCACAACCAAGCTAACCAATCTGAGCCCACGACGTGTTTCTGAGGGAGTGTTTTCATAGAATCAGGAAGTCAACCGCTCGTTCGAGGAATAAGACTTTTTAAAAATGAAAAACCATGAATACATGTTATATTGCACCCCATAAACACAATCATGCAAAGAAAAAAGAAAAAAATTTTTTCTATTGGTAAAAAAAAAAAAAAAAAAAAAAAAAAAAAAATGCAACCGGTTCGACCAATAAGAATGTCAGTCAACCAAGACGGCATCGACCGATTAGTCGACTAAACGACTAAAGTCGACAGCCCTAGATATGATAAGAGATTGTCAGATTTAATCACGATTGCATACAGAGAGGCCTTAAAAACTGCTAGATCTGATTATATTTCAACCCTATTAGAAGAAAATAAACCTAGGTATTTATTTGAAACAGTGGCTAAACTAACAAAAAATAAAGCTTCAAGACCAGACGTTTCCAAGCAGAACAGCAGTGATGACTTTGTGAACTTCTTTAACTTGACTGATAATATCAGAGAAAAAAAATTTAACAATCCAACCATCTATCAGAGGTCATAGATCCTCTTCTTAAAATCATTTATTCATCTTTGTCATTAGGACACGCACAAAAACTTTTAAGCTGGCTATTATTAAACTGCTTGAACAACTTCAGACCATATACTTACCAACAATAAAATGGAAAAAAAAAAAGATCTTTCAATAGCTTCTGA